AATGCCTGTTCAAAGATGCGAGTCACCTAGCTCGTAGTTAAGAGTAGTGATCATCTTGGACTTTACTATTTTCTCGTAAATGACACCCATCTTACACTCGATTGCAAGCGATAGTTTTGAAGCTGGTTCTAAACAAGGCTAGTTCGAAACTTGCTGTCTGCTCTTCTCTTTCTCGTTATCCTCGACAATCTAGTATGACAGGTTGCTCAGGGCATGGAATTGAAATCTCTCCGCCGGTTCTAATCGACCACGGCATCCTGTTTTCCTCGTCTGACCGCCACACGTTGGACTTACTCATGATCAACCTCGACATCCGCTTTCACTCATTCAAGGGGGTTGGAGGGGGCATTTTTGAGCATTTGACCTTTGGCGTTTCGAGACAAAAGCAAAAGAATGGCGGCGAATGGATGGATGGATGAACGGATGGATGAATGGACTGAAACGTGGCATGCATTTGAATGATCACAGCTCTTTTTTATTATCCCTTTATGTTTCTCTTTTTGTTTTTGTTTTTACTCTTTTTGATTTCCCCCAAAAACGTCTAGGCCGCGTGTTGACTTCCTTGAATGATGAATATGAGGGAGAGGTTGAAAAGCAGGAGAGGAACTGAAAAGGTTTACTTGCTTTGGCTTAACGAACACTGAGGCAAGGCTACTATAGGCGGTTCGTTTTCTCTAGACTCGGCGAAGATGATGAGATGTCGACTCTTACGATATGAACTCGGATCTGTATGCTAGGCGGTTCATGGAATCAATGAAATGTCTTGTTATTTATTTATCTTTGATCGGTGCTGTGTGGTGTGGTTGGTGTCTTTTGTGTGTCTTTGCTGGTTGCTCAATGAGGTCTCGGTGTTTGTTTTCGATGCTTTTAGAAAGGGTGAGGACTGTGTGTGTGTGACTATAGACGAGTAATGAGCCCATGAAGTCTCCTCTCATGCTGACCCATTTCATTACTGCTGATGATTCTTGTTGCTGACCACTTTGGCTTATTTGCTTGCCTCGTTCTCCTCTTTCCATAGTCTGAAGCCTTCGAGGACGTTCCTCTTCACTCCCTCGCTCACAAACTCCAACTTCTTGCCATCCTTGAACTTATTCTGCAGTGCTTCTTCCTCCGTCACCCATGCAAACTCGACATGTTCATTCTCATCGATCTTGACTTCATCACAGCTCTCCACCTCGACCCAAACCGTCAACTTTCCCCAGACTCCGTCATCTGCACGAAACACAAGCATGTCATACAGAACCTCCAAGTCCTTCTCTAGAGGATCATCGGGCATCGGCTCTGCGATGGGCGCAATCCCTACCACGGCCTTTACGGCCTTTGCGCGCAGTCCGGCTTCTTCCCAGAGTTCACGCACTGCTGCAGCAACGAGGCCATGGTCTGAGTCATCAACACAGCCACCGGGGACTTCCCATAGCAGAGGCCAGGAGTCATGAGCTGCGCGGCGGAGAAGAAGGACTTGACCTTGGGGGTTGGTGACTAGGGCGCCGGCTATGAGGTGCTCAATTGGGGGGTGGGCAGCTCGGAAGACATCTGGAGTAGAGGCGAAGGCCTCGAGAGATGAGGGTTGTGTGTAGGATAGTGGTGGCGAAGGTGAGGTTGGCATTGTGGTATATCGTTGGTGATATATTTTGGTCCTGTCCTCGTTGCAGTATTATAATCTTGAAGATTTTATATGTTTGATAATCGATACCTGGTTTAGGCTGCGAGTTGAAGATGATTGGTTGGGAAAGAAATACCGCGCAGATATTAAATTGCTAAGCACTGGGCACTAGGTAGGTAATATGAATAGAGCATGTGATAATAAAGACAGCTCTGCGTAGAAAGAATATCGAGAGGGAGGATTGGCTCCTAGGCACTTTGCATCATCTGAAGTGACTTCCAGGTTGTCTGTAGTTGACCCTGTAGTGTTGAAAGTGTGAGTCAACCTCGTCCTACAGCTTACACACCAGCAACCAACTACCAAGGCGGCTACTGCATATCACTGCATATATCACATTCTCGGTCAAGAAGATTTACATGCGGTTATTGTATTTATTGGTAACACTGCAATGTATTGCAGAGCCTGACAAGCAAGCCCCTCTAGCTGTATCCTTTCACAGTAGGTATAGTCCTATTCCCTGTGATATACCCAAATTGTACTCTATGTATCAACGCCTCTCGTCTCTCAAGAGCCTTGTTGTCCAAACGCCAACGCAGACATGTACCAGTCAGTCAACCGTATCATACAGAACATCCGCTCGCTTCGCGTATTAAAAAGAAATGCTTGTGTGCTAACCCGAACCTCAAAAAGCATAGAAACGAATCACCACCACCACCACCTGGCTCAGGCACCTACGACATTTTGGCACCCATCTCTTCCATGCCGTACTCATCCCACTCGTCATCACCTCCGAGCTTTCTGCCTATCCAGATACCAATGGCTGTTATAAGGCTGCCTACTAGGAACCAACCCTCAAACCAACCATCCACAAATGCGGGACTCAAGGCACCTCGCAACACGCTTCCGACTGCCGAGCCCAAGGCAGATGGCAATTGACTGCGGAGGAGAAGTGCAGCTGAGATGACATAGGTCGCAGCAATCTGTCCGACGACCAGCGCCAGATTCGCTTGTGCCTGGCGGAGCAGGCCTGGAGTCCATTTAGCAAACAGGTGAAACGTCTGGACCACACTGTTGGCGCTGGCGAGGAGAATGACACCACTGAGAGCAAAGCTGATAAGGCGTGCCCATGCTAGTTGATCCAACTTGGGATCCCAATGACGCGCAAGAATACTAAGAAAGCGGTTGATGGGATCCGTGTTGGCAAAACTTGATGTGGGTGAATATGCTCGGCGAATGGTTGTGATTGTAGTTGCGCCAATGCGATACACACAGTACAGGCTGAAGAGCTGCGAGGGAATGAGAAGAATACGTCCAATGGATGTTGAAGCGCGAACTGTGGCAGCCCGGTGGCTCTTGAGGAGAGAAACTCCTGACGCCAAGTTAGCTTCCATCGTCTCGAGACCAGCAATTTCCAGGCGCAGCGATCGCATCTCTGCCTCATCGCCAGTTGGACCACGTAGAGAACCCATGACTTTGCCGACAAGGCCACTACCCTTGGCAGAGGCTCCATTCTGAGGACCAGATGTTTTGCGTTCGAGATATTGCAGGCGATGACGCTTGGTGAGAAGCATTTCGTTGGCAGTATCAAGCCCAGCTTGCTTTCTCGCTACATCGGCGTCTGTGACAGGTCGTTTGCGACGGGTTGTAAGATCCATGAATGCCTGCCACGGTGAAGAAACAGCAGCGAAGCCAGACAGTAAAGCCATCAGTGAGATGCCAACGACACCAATACGTTCTAGGCATCCTCGCGTCAACATCTCGGACAGGCTTCCACTCGCAATGCTCGTCCTGCGCATCGCGCCCTCGGGAACAGCCTGGCCAACAGACCAGAAGGCAAACAACCATCCCATAAACAGAGCACTTTGTAATCCCCAAGCGACCCGAGGAAGTTTTCCCTTTGCAGTTCTCTGAAAAGTCCATCCAGCACTCGAGATAACCGATCGACACTCCAGCCAAGGTACCAACACGACCAGCAAGAACAGCAAGCTTGGCACCGTTATTCTCAAAGCCAAATTTCTCGAGTCGGCGTTGACAAGTTCGATGATTTCGTCCATGATCAGCGCGCCCAATGTAGCAGCCAAACCCACAGTAAGACCAAACGTCCAGGCTGCGCCGCGCCGTCTCCAGCTCTTGGCACCATGTTCAGCGTGAACTTGTCGCAAACACGCCGGTGCATGTGTAGGTAGGACGTGATCTTCGCCGTCGCGAGAATCGGCATCGCTGCTCAGTCGTGGAAAGACATGTCGAACAACGAGGATTGATGTCGAGATGCAGATAAGGAGGAACGGGAGGGCGGCGATGGACGAGTTGAGTGTGATAGGGCGGGGTTGGATTTCACAGGCGTCTTCGCCGCAGCGAGTAAAGGGCCACATTCTTTGTGAAATTTGAATTCAAATCTAAATTTATATCGTTATCGAACCAGTGGGAGTCGTGGTGATGATCATCGATGTTTGGCGCGGGGCCCAGAGGAGTATATCGTTCGTTCTTTGTGTATAATACCTAGGTAGGTACTCTTGTGTTCGCAGGTCGTAGGAATGTCAGAGGGCCTTAGGTAGGTTTGGCGGCGGCGCAGTAAATCCTCCCTTGAGTTTGTATCATCAGATGATCAGAGGAGGGGAGACTCGGTAGGTATCTAACTGAAATAGACTGAAACGTTGCCAGTAACTCAAGTTTATCTATCCCTTGAGCTTGAGCTTGAGCCCCTCGTAGCGTAGCGTAGCGTAGTGTAGTGCCGTTGCGACAACTCGTATCAAATAAATATGAGATGCCGCGCAACGTCACTTCAAGGGTCCCCTCACTTTATCCTTGACAACTTATTAATTAATCAATAAGAAAAGTATCGTACAGTTGCTTTCAGCCGTTGTATAGCATTTGAGTTTGCAAGTCGAGAATTGTTTGTTAGACTCGACATTTGCAATTAGTTAGCCCCTGGGTCTAGAACCTGAGAAATGGTGGCTTACGTCGTCGCACTCGGTTCCCTGCAACGCAACTTGGGTTGGTCGCACATACAGTACTAAGAGTGACGTGTTGATGCCTCAGGTTACACATCCTTATGCCTGATCAAGGGTCCTTGCATACAGCATCGCATCGTGACATGACATGCGACAGACCTGCATTACATTAGACGCACGAACATGCATATCTAATAAATCTACATTTGAATCACCGACCTCGGTGCACGGCCATTAGTTATCATGATGCCAAACGTGATATGAATTTCAACCCTAATACGTATCAGATAGCTAGGTAATAACAAGAACTGAAACCAGTCTATCGCTGTGTAATGTCATTTCGAAGCGCTATTACATCATCTTGTCAGACCGTGAGCCTACCATCGATGCATGAATGCGTTGCAGCAACTTCTGAAGCAACCTTTGAAGCCACTTGCCCACAATGACTACCTGCTGGGACGGGGCCTCGCTTCTGCCACATTGGGTGGTTCATTATCATTCTCTTCGTTGTTGTTGTTGTCAGTACCTTCAGCACCGCCCTCACCATCGCCTTCACCATCGCCCTCACCATCATCACGACCAGATTGGCCATTATCCTGAACCTCTTCTCCAGGTGACGGGGGACCCGAATAGAATCTTATGCTTGGTTGAGATCTGAAACCCGACAACGGCGACCCCACCGAGAAATCGCTAGATGAGCTTCCGACTAGGGTGGGTGATCCTTCGCTTCCTGTGGACGACGTACGAATCTGGCAGCCTGAAGGTACCTGTAGAGTCTTCGAAGCGGCATCCAGCTTTTTGGAAGATGGATTAGAAGGTCCTCCTTTGTCCTCGACTTTTGAATTGCTGAAAACTTTGGGCTCCTTGTTTTCGATCCGAGAATCTATCGAAGCCCCGTGCTTTCGGGGCGCTCTTTCCTACCAAGCTCCACGCGATAAGTGAAGCCCTATATCAGAGACGGCCATACGCTTTTGTAAATCATCCAGATGTTGCAGTTCGGCCGTGTCGCCTTCCTCTTCTAGAGATGAGAGACCTCCTTTTGCTTCTGAATCAGGCTGAGCAACTTGAGGAAGCTGGTTATTCTTCTGAGAGGATTTCTCGTTGCTTTCGGCAACTTCATCTCCCGTGCTATTCTTATCCTTGTTATTGTCTATTCGTTGTTTCTGCTTGCCCTTCATCTTCTATGATATGGCCTTCGGGGCATCATCTTCTTCATCGAGATCTTCGTCCACCTTCATCTTTAACGCTGCTGCTTCACCGACCTCCATCTTATGAAGCTGATCCATCTTCTGCCTGTCCAAGGCTTGTTGCCCGCTCATAACCTCGAACTCTCCAGAGTCATCGTCGTCATCGTCATCGTCATCGCTCTCAGCGGCGACACCGACGTCGTCTTTGACAACTCTCTGGTTCTCCGAGGACTCATTGACAGGGCCCGCAGTAGCAGTAGGGTCGGGGGATCTGCGACTCGGTATCTGGCTATGGTTGAGGGGCTTAATCGTAGGATCGAAAGATGCAGGCAGTCCTAAAGCACGTGCGACTTGGTGCGCTTCTTCATCGGGCGAGTTGTGGACCTCAAGCTCATAAGTGCTACTTGCCTCACTATCGGCCTCATGTTTCCCGGCGTTTGCGGCCAACATGCTCACGTAGGTCTGTCGGGCAGAGTCGTTGGCACGTTTGGCCTTCTTTTTGATGCGCTTCTCGGTAGGTCGAACCACAACCACTGGGACAGGTGAATATTGGAGACAGTATTTGGAAAACGAGTTGCGGGTGTTAACCAGGCCTTGAAGACCACCGAGGGTGCGTCCTCTAGTTCCTACAATGAGCATTGCAGGCTGGTACATTTGGATCTGCCATTTTGTCAGCGCCGAAACCTGGCAAAGGAGATGTCTTCTCTGTTCACGTACCAAGTGTTGAAAAGTCATGTGCAACTTGCCCACGGCATATTCGAGGACAATGTTGATGGCTCTGTTATTACCATTCCGAGCAACGATTCCCTTCATGACCGAGTCTGCATCGTCTCTGTACTGCTTGTCCGTAAGTCGCAGTTCTTTGTCGACTACTCGCACGCAAACAACGTCGTCGCCATCATCAACCAGTTCGTCAAGCAGCCACTGCAACGCATAATCGGAGTAGGTATGCTCGTCAACCCCAACCATGAAACATCGCGATCTGCGCCTAGCCTGGTAACCCTTATGTCGAACATTGAGCGTAAACGAGATAGCATTATTCTTGGTCGCTTCGCCAGTTGTAACATTGTCAAATGCGACATGCTTCTTGAACCTATCGGGCGGGGTCTCGGTTAGCGTCGCCATTGTCGTGAAAATACCACAAAACAGAGACTGGGAACAATAACGAAAGGTTTGAGAGGTAATTTATAGGATGCGCGGGGAAGTGATAATGGGGATGAAGGTCAAGAATTGTCAATGACGACTATGTCGGCGGCAAGAGGAGAGTTCTGCGGGAATTTGGGGGCTGACGACTTGTCAGTGGCTGTGATGAAGGATGATGGCCTGACGATCCAGACCAAACGAGCAGGTAGTCCTAGGCGAAGAGCATTTCCCCACGTCTACTGGAAGCTTTGTTGCAAACGGCGGGGTAACCATAATTGATGGTGGGAGGCCACCGGTGGAGTCGGAAGGTTATTGTGAGGAATGGTCCAGCCAAGGGACCCAGTTCCACCCAAAGCCCAGGCAGATTCCATCAATACGCCTCTGCAGAGTTGTCTTCATGAGTGGGAGTTCAAATAGTCGATGCAACTACCGCAATGCTCGTATCCAACCTGGATTGCAATGGCTGACCCATGTGGACAGAATTAATGTTTTCGATGGTGACACAGTCCACGCGACATGTTGCTTGGCATGGCGTCACATATGTTTCCAGCCGGACCAATTTGAATCCATTTTCGCCGATGTTGGGTGTGCAGTACGCAGAATGAAATCTGTTGGTGAAATAAAGATTCTTCCAAACAAAAACAGAAAATTCCAGTTTGCACCACAGCGATCCACATGGAGGTTTTTGGCAGTTTACATATTGCCGCACCGTGTGTTAGATTTGGCCAAGCCGATATAAGGTTGCAAGTGCAATCCAGTATTGGGTTGAGGATATTGGTATTCGATCACAGCAAATATTTGTGCAACGGGAAGAGGAAAGGATAAAGAAAGTTGTTACACACCTTGTGTGGTCCGGTGAGCTCGCACGGATGCGACTGTTGCCCATCTGTTGAGGATTTCCCTGGGGAAGTTGAGGGTTTGTCATTCTACGAAAAGAGACAGAGCCGGTGGACGATTTCCTTTGGATCAACGAGTCCTGGCCTAGCGCTGGATTTTGGTTGCTTTCACTTGAGCTACGTCGAGGATCTGGCGCGAAGGAGATGCTTGACTTCCGAGCAGATGAATCGTCACCGTCGCTGGCCCGGACACTAGTATTGGATCCATCGACTGTGTTGGAATCTGGGAAGTAATCGGCCTTTGCGTCTTCTGAGCCTGACTTCTTGGGAGGGTTCACTGTTCTGGGAGAGACATCGGAGTCGGAGCGCTTGGGCGGGTTTGGGTGAATCGTTGCGGTTGTGGCCATGTTGCCTATGATGCTGCGTCACAGAAGACACGATCTGGCGGCAACCCGAGTTCAGCTTGTTGTTCGCGCCGGGTCGGTATGTTCAATAATGATTGTATATGTCTGGGAACGAATGTGTGCAAGAGCTAACGATAATCAAGCGTATCGATGGTGAAGCTTGATGGGATAAAATAGACGGATGACGATGAAAAGCCCAGGTCAAAAGAGTTTGTTCTGTAAGGGGTTTCTGGTTGATAAGAAAGGAAAGAAAGCTTGAGCTTGCACGGAGCTGAGCTTCAGTCAAGTGTCTTGGTAGTTCCTCCCCAAGGGTATTCGTATTGCCAAGATGCAACTGCCGCCAAGACGGAGAGGCTAACCAGTTAGTTGATAGGTAGTTAAGCTTGGCTTGGCCTTTGATTTAAGGAAACACCAAATCACAAGGAGGAGGGAGTGACCGCGGCTGAAGGTAGCGTGGGGCTTAGGAGAGTCAAGTTTGTGACGTTGAATGACGCGGTTCCGAAGTCAAGACAGGAGGATGGGAGCTCAAGTTGGGATACGGATGCGGGCGCAAGTTGAGACGCGGACCCTGAGCTAAGATGCAACGCCGAGGTCGATCAGATCTGGCGGAGATAGGTAGTAGAAAGTGTGGAGAAGGACCTCTACAATTGATTCATCAATAGACCGAACCGGAGTGGCTGTGAATATAGAAGAAAGGCAAATCGTCGTAATAACGGAGATGAAAGTTGGTGGTGGCTGTGGTGTTGTAGCCTGTTTCTGAGGAAGCGGAGTTGATAGTGACCGCCGATTACGAAAGGCAGTGGAGGGCAGCGAATAAATCAAAGCACAGAGCAAAGACTCTTGATCTTTGTAAGAGGGTAGAGTGAGTAAAGTCAGAAGACGGTGTGGGCGTTTGCGTTTTGTTTGCAATCAGTTTGTGGTGAAAGAGATGAAGCCACAATCAAGGCATAGGTCAGCCGAGATTCAGCCCAAAACAATAAGATTTTAAGGTTATTGCCAGGGAACGACGAGACCACGTTTTCAATCTTGGTTTTTGGGTTTGGAAGAGGCGAAGACCAAAGACGGGTGGGTGGGAGAGTGGGAGGTCCAGGTATCCGTAGTCTCACTATGTATTGTTTCCTTAGGCAGAGAGAGATGTCATGATACAGTACAGTACCCAGGTTAGCGAGGACGTCGGTAGCTGGATAATATGGGCTTGGTCACATTAAACGAGGGAGACAACGTGAGGAGGCCAAAGAGAATGGATGGGATGGATTGAGGGACGGTGCCGAACGGATCGGCCCTTGGTCCACGTCAGGACTGACTGGGTGTAGGCCCGAAAAGGTCTGGGAGGGTTGAAATTAAACTGGGCAGCAACGTAAACAGGAGTGATGTACGTATTATTATCAGCCGAGATTTGAATTTATGATATATTACAGAGGGTGCGTCAGAAACGTGCGTTAGAAAACACGTCCAAGGGTTAGAATGGCGTGAATCTGCAGAGATCACCAGCAGCTAATAAAAAGAGACTTGAGGTGAAAACAAGGTTGATGATAGCGAAAGTGCAAATCGTACAGCTGACGTAAATACGCCAAAGTACTGTAAGCCGTTGCAGTGCCGCTCTAGGGGAGGAAAGAAAACTCAGTACGTCAATGCTGAATAACAAAAAGATTTAGGTAGCTTTAGCCTAAGCTTAGGATAACTTTTAAGAGTTTATTTTGACACCTAATATCAAGGTCTAATGTTTTCTTGGCCCCAGAGGCCGCTCTTCAGGGATTGGATGGATTATTGTGTGTCGGGTGTGACGACAACTGCAGGCCAAGACACAGCTCGATTTGCATGCGAGAAAGCATGTGCTGACTGGGCTGAACTATTGGCTGACCAGGATGAACCACGGGCAGGGTCTCTATCATTTCTGCAACACAGACACAGAGATAACAGAGAGACCAGAGGCCTCTTGAATTTATCCAGAGAAGAAGAGGAAATGAACGACACGCGAGCAGGGAGACAGGCCAGAAGCCCACTCACACTGATACTGGCCCCAGGCTGGCCAGGCCAGGTAAGCAAGCAGAAGCAGCACAGCACACTGCACAGCACAACTCAACACAACGCTATTATCATCCCTGGGGGTTTTTGATCACATGGAAACTCTTTCAGCACTCTTTGATGCCACTCCAACAAGTAGGACAGCTTACCGGCGAATAGATATCCACTTAATAAGGGGCGCTTAGTTCGGCCGCCTTCCCCTCACTAATGCCACCTTGTTTGCTTGGGCAGCCAAAAACACACAATGATCTTCTTCTTGTTGTGAAGTGAAGCGCAAGATAATTAATTTGACGACAATAGAAGGCAGCACGGATTCAAGGTAAATTGAAGTGTCAATGTCTTGGCCCCGGCAACAATGTTCCGAGTGTGACTCCCACCGGTGACCGCCAAGAGCACACGCGTATCACGTAGCAAACTGTATTTGTGCTATGATATGTACCATGGCGGCGTCGGAACCGGTTCTTTGGGCACGATTCGGTACAAGAAGCCCTCCTCTGATCCCGTTTCCCCCGGGTGGAGTCATCTCACGCTCGGGCTTCAGTGGAGAGGAACGCTAATGATGGGGCCGAGCCGACTGAGGACAGAGCCTCTGCAGATGAATTGAGATCCGTCATCCCTCCCATACGACGAGCCGAATCAGCTTCAATGGCACTAACCAAACGGTTTTTACTATGGATCAATACCAAGAATTTCTCACTACCTAGGCGACAGTTATGCAGGGAACCTCAAGCGAGAAACAGTCAGCTCGTCACTCGTCTTTCCTTCGTGCAACTCTTCACCGCATCGTTTCGTTGCACCAGATTAATTATTGAGCCACTACCAAGCACAACGTATCAGCCAGTGAATTTCCTTATCGAGACCACATGAGTATCCCCTGTTCTTTCAGCTGTGAAAATCAAATAATTCATCAGCCCTGCCATTATCCGACAGAGTATGGGAATGGAGGAGTACCCTTGCGGATACGGGATACTGGGACTGGTGCCTCTCCACACTAGGGCTACCAAATAACCGGAATTTCGGAAGCTCTCCTGCGCACCATCATGGTGACATGGTCTGACTCGACCACGTATATGTCGTCAAAGACGGCGGTGAAGCTATCTTCATCAGCCACGAGAACACAATGTCTCATTGCTTTTGCCAACTGAGCTAACCTAGGCTCTGGGAATCACGAGCCAATACGGAGTACACTGAGTGGCACAGACTTGGGAACACGAATGCCGAGATACATCTTGAACCTCTCGAGACTTCATCCGATGAGCATACATGTACGCGCCAAAACATTCTAGGCATCATCAGGCAGACTGGGGAGTCTTATCATCGGTGCTATGGCAGAGCAAACTTGTTCACGACATGTCCTAGGACTTCCTCCAAGGTCTTTCTTGAAATATCAGATGGAAAGCTTGGTTAGCATTTCTTGGTCTCCCAGAGCGTAACAGATTCCGTACATGCGGCTAAAATAATAAATGTCCAGGAAAACTGAAGGTCATATACTAATTCACCAAGCCTGCAATCGCTAATACACCAGACCTCGAAGGCCATACTTGAAGGACTGTCCTCGTCGCAACGCGACCTCGATTTCTTTTTCTGGCCCATGCCGCGCTAATCGATTATGCCGCTTATTCAACAGTCCTCGTCAATGAATCAAAGTGAGTCTCCTTCTGTCAGATACCAGCTGATGACCGAACCCTATGCCGCTGGGAGGTAATTCTTTCGTATGTATAAGTTCTGCCTATCATGAGCTATGCTTTACACAGTGTGCCAGTCCAGCCAAGATCGCGGAATATTTGTTGGCTATTTGTCACCAGACTAGGTACAAAATGAGGATTGCTTTAACATATCATTCTAAGAGGCACAACCTTGGGGCTGACATCAAATCATAAGCAGTATAGCTGCTAGTATAATCTGCTTTCCCAAAATAGTCCAATGTCGTATTGAATATAAAGAATTTTTGGTGGCAAGGCATTGCAGAGTGGTCTGAGTGGTTAGAGTAAGGTACACAAAGCACATCACCAATGTTGTGTTTAACTTGAGGAACTGTAACTCAAGTCCCAAAACATACAGAGGGCTTCCTGTGACTATGCCAACCCTTTCCCATTCGTCAAGTTGTGGCTCTATCAGCTTTTCAGGGTTTGTGGCCGGTTACTCAAATTCATCGTGGATCATCATATGGTATTCGCACTATTAGGGCTCCTCAGCACATTTCGAGACCAGATTCTACCAGATAACCCAACTATGATTCCCCTGTTATGATTAGGCACGCAACGACTAACGGCTCGTGTCAAAATTATTCTTAGTTGTACCGGGAACTCAATATAAATGTAACTGCGAAGCCTGTATAAGAACCTGCTTCCAGGGCTGACATAATTCATAATGGTGATCAAGACTTTTAGGATCATGATATTTGATTAAACGACTTTTGTTTCCTTTTATTCTTCATAGCCTTTTCACAGGCTCTCTCGTACCTCTAGGAGGAAGTGCCATATCTCTGCCCGCACATACAGCTAAACTCGAGAAATTCTCAAGCTCTTGCACGAGCATCACCAACTCCGAGACGCCTTTGCCATGCCATGCATCCTATCAAGTTGGCCTGCATAACCCCAGGTATTCTCCTGATCTTGGGTCGCTTGGAGGATTCAGCCGCAGCGCTCTATGCGCTTCTTTCGGGCTTGAATCGAAGACCCCATAAATTTGAGAAAAACGACTAGTCAGCTCTCTCTATAGCACCTCAGTTATAGGTGCGGGACAGATTTCGGAGATACCAGTCCACAAGCTTTCGTCCCACCTTAGCCTCAGAGATGTGGATGAGGTCCTGTGGGATTGTTAGTTTAGGTTGAGATCTTGGATTGGGTCATAAACTTACGCCTTGGAGAGCATAGTCAAGGTCGCTAACGTTGACGAGCTCACCATCAAGCAGACCCTGGTCCTGCCATCGCAATTGCTTAGTTCGTTGCTTGGTAACCAGGAGCCATGATCGAAGC